TTTTTTTTTTTTTTACAAAATCAAGATTATTTCTTTTTACATTTCATTAATTCATTAATTCTTTTTTCATTAATTGCTATCGTTCATTCTTGATTTGAAAAAAAATTTTTTTCCTTCAAAATTTCTCTTATTTTCGAGAAATAATTTAGTATATTGAAGTTCCAGTGCGGCTATTTTTCAAAAATTAAATGAATTTTTTTATGAATTGGTACGTAAGTTAAAAATCTCTTTACCATTGTTTTCTTTAACTTTTTCTGAAATAAATCTTTGAAGGAATTAATTTTTCAATTTTTTTTTAGTTTTCATTGAACTATTTGCCTTATTATAGTATTAAGGATGCTTTCAATGAAAAGCTTAGCAATTTAAACGATGGAAATTTTTGATTTAAATGTTTAAATTTGGCATTATTTATTTATTAAATTGTAACCAAATTTCTAAAATAACAAAAAAAAATTTTTTATGATTAAAGATGTTGGCAGTGTAATTGATATATTTGCATATGAAATTAAGATTTGAAATGGAGTGATTTGAATAGCTGTATTTAAAATATTAATTAAGAAAGAAAGAAAAAAGAAAATTTTGAAATTATACAAATAATACAAGTGAATCTATATTATTTTCATAAATAATAATATCAAGTTTTAAAGATGAAAAATGTTTTCCATTTTATTTCGGAAGTAATACCTTTTCCCTTTTTTCTTCTCTCTCTTTTTCTCTCCCGCTGTATCTTTCTGTACCATTATTAAAATAATAATTTTTTTCTTTTTTTTCAAAAATTGGACTATGTAATTGAGAAATAGATTAAAGTTGAAATGTTCGATGAAATTTATAAAGGAAAAAATGACAGAACGATATGGAATATACCAATTGAGAAGGTAAAATCTGAAATAGCTAAAATTGTTCATTTTAAATTGTTCCTATAAAATATATGTGCAACGATTTGTATTAATACTAAAATTATAGCAAAGTGAAAATAATGATTCAAAAGAGAAAAAAATTGAAAAGCAAAGAGAGAAGAAAATATAGCAGAAGTAGAAAAACAGGATGAAATTATAGTTCAATTTCAAAAAAAAAAAAGAGAAAGAGAAAGAAAGTAAAAGATTTATCAGTAAGAGAAATGAAAATTAAGAATGGAAAAAGAAAGCAAAAAAATGATAGTCGTTCTTACAAAGACCGGAAAACAAAAAAAAGAAATATGAAAAATGAATCGGTAAATGTTGAAAATTTTCTAGTATGGCAAAAAAGGAGAAAATTATCATCATAAACTGATAATTTCTCCTTTTTTTT